AGACGTGTGCTCTTCCGATCTCCCCAAAACCCCAAAACCCCAAAACCCCGCTAAGAATATTGGCATTTGGATAGGAAGTAAAAGTTTTTAAATCAAAATTAATTAAGATTATTGTTACATCTTATGTTTTTAATTAGAATCATTTGATCTCAAGTTAGATACTTGAATGCATCTCGAATGCTTTTCATCATCTAACTTTTATTCTTTTTCTCTTGGGTGATGGTGGTCTCATATAGTTGCTATAAGAAAAAATCTATGTCAAACTTAATTACTACTAATCCTACTAGGCTCTTGTCTCAAGACTTTGATAGTTAGCAGTTGATCTCTTATTTTTCCGTTTAGTCTGATTAGTTTTATTAAGTAATTAGTCATTTTTGCTCTATGTAGTTGTAGTGGTAGAGCTTATATCCTTATCGCTATGATCACTATTCAAAAGTTGTATTTGATTGTAATGAAGACTTCTGTCATCAAGAGTGAGGTTATTGATTCTTTCGACGAGTGAACAGTATCTTTTCTTAGTCACTGATGGTATAGTAAAACTTACAATCTTTGCAAACCTCCTAAATTTTAAAATTAAGTGAATGTAAGATTACAAGGAATATTTAGCAATTTTAAACCAGTGCATATTTATTGACTAGAGGTAGAGTTGTTTTTCATAACTAAAATATGTCATGACTATGAAAATAATATCCCCTGAAAGTCCTTAACTTCTGGAATGTAAATTTAAACAATCAAGCATCAGTTGGCTTTATATATCATCTATAATCATAATTAAAAAGATACAATTAACCATACCTTGATTTTTCTACTACTCAAAAATCTCGCATTTCTATTCTTTTTTTAATTTCTTCTGCTTTTAGTCATATAGCTTTGTGCATGCATTCTTTTTGTATTCTATAATCTGTAGCCTCTTTCTATTCTTCAAAGATCTCTCTAACCTTTTTCAAGAATCTTTAAATTCCAACTTTTTGAATTGATAGGTTATCTGAGTCATTAAGTCTTCATTTTTCGCCTTTTTATTGGCTAGATTTAAAGCCATAAGATTCTTATTCTTCAATGATTCTTCGTTATACAATTCTTTGTAAGAAGACGAGGACGATTTTCTTTTCTTAATACAAGATTTATTTCGATGAGAGTATTTCTGTCGAGTATTTCTCTCTTCTAGTTACTATTTAAATAGTTTTGGATTGCTCAAAGAACTATGAGGAATTTTATGATCCATTAGAATTATAGTTAGAGGTAAATTTAATTATTTGAATAAAACTTGCCTTGTTAAAATTTAAATAGTTAAATTATTTCGACAGTCTTAAAGTGAGATAATTGAGATCCTAAGTCGATTTATTATAATTTAAATTTTCAAGAAACCTTTATTCTAGAAAAACTTCAATTCTTTTTCTACATTCAATCTAAAATGCCAAACTACGGAGATCCAAATTACTGGGACAAACGCTACGAAGAGAATGAAGGCGCAGTTTTCGACTGGCTAGAGGACTATGGATCACTTAAACCACTTTTTAAGGATATACTTAAGCCAGAGAGCAAAATTCTGGTACTCGGATGCGGCAACGCTGAGTTTAGCGAAGATTTATATGATGATGGCTACCACAATATCTACAATATTGATATCTCATCAGTTGTGATTAAACAAATGGGTGAAAGAAACAAAGATCGAGCAGAGATGAAATATGAGGTGATGGATGTTAGAGAGATCACCTACCCAGATGGTTACTTTGATATTGCTATTGATAAGTCAACTATTGACGCTCTTCTTTGTGGAGACAATGCTTACTTGAATGTCGCTAAAATGATGAAAGAGGTGCAGAGAGTTCTTAAAAATGAAGGGTATTATATTGCTATTTCCTATGGAAAACCAGAAAGTAGAGCCTAGCATTTTGAAAGAGATCATTTGTCTTTTGCAATGAAATAATTTGTATTATACCCAGTTGACACCTAATCTGAAGAATAAAAAGAGGAAAAGAGTCATTACATTTACCTGTGCAAGAAACAAGAAGATGCTGAGCAGAGGGCGATTGACAACTATGAAAAAGTTCTCCAAGATATTATTAGATAGTAAGAGGAGGAAGCTGCTGCATATGATGGGAAGAATTCTGACGAGGAAAGTGATGAAGATGGAAGTACTAGAAAGAGAACAGCAAGAGCAGTAAGAGGCAGAAGAGCACTATCATTATGAGGGAAGTAGTCTCAATTAATGTAAACTTCTGCTAGTCTGTGAAACTCTCAACTCAAAACTCTTAACATAAGATGATACAGACCTGTTATTTAATAGAATGAGCAAGTTTTAAGTCATCTTAATAGTTAATAGACGAGATATTTGAAAGAGATCATTGAATAGCTTAGAATAAAATATAACCTATATAAGCACAATACTTATTTAGTTAATTTGTAATTTTTAAATATAATTCTCTATGATTACGATAGGATTTTAGAATGCAGGGGTTTTGGGGTTTTGGGGTTTTGGGG